TTTTTGGTTGTAGGTACACTAAATGGAGTAAGTTGAGCAAATGGAATAAAAATAAAGAAAGTTGGAGTCAAAGAAAACAAAGTGGCCAATTTCGACATGGCACCTAGGTGCCATAGGAGATTTCTCTACATAATTGAACGAACATAGATAAATTTTAAAGGGGTGCTTGAAGTAACTCTTGGTGATTTTGAGAGCTTTATTTAAAGATACTTCCGAAGATTCAAAATGATTTTTTTTAGAGAGAAGGAGAGTCTTCTTAGAGAGAGGAGAAAGTCTTGGAGGCTTGCTAAGATTTGGAGAAGAAGAGGAGAAGTGAGAGATATCTTCTTCACTATAGTTCTAAGTGAGATTGGAGTGGAATTGTAAGGAGAGTGAGCGATTCAAAGGAACTAAAAGGATTTCTTAGGAAGGAGTTTGAGATAAGTTGTGTATTTTGTTTATTTTACTTTGTTTTGTTTTTTAAACTTACATTTATCTATAAATTCATGTGCTGTTGTTTATTCCTTATGAGATTTGAGTAGTTTCCTTTATTTTTCTCCCTGCAATGAGGAATGATTATGTGTAAGAATGAATTTTAGTAGAAATGCTTCTAATTCCATATATTGTGATGATTTAAACTCTATGCTTATTTTACTTATCGATCTGGTCAATTGATTTGGGTCAATTGATTTGTTAAAACTGGTCAATTGATTTGTTAAAATCTGTTGTGAAACATAGTGACCAAAAAGGCTTATGCTTTCCTCAACAAAGTAAGAATCACATTTAGTCTCATGCATGAGAATGTATTCCATGAGGTTAAGTGTAAATAAATAGGGAATAAGTTTTGATGAATGTAAAATTGGATGTTTTAGAGTGACAGACTAAAATTTTCAATTTGACAGACTAAAATTTTCAATTTGATCCAGATGTTTGGAAACTAAAGCGAGATGTTAGCCTTCAGGTGAGGGGTAAGTGGGAACTCTAGAGTGACAACTAGTATCTTCCCAGCCTAACCACTGGTTTAGGGACTTAATTCCGGATCAACTAATGTTCTTTATACACTTGAGAGAGAGTAAGGAATATGTATGCTCCTCTTTGGCAAAATACAATAATTATATTTAAAATTATTTGATTCCAACACTAGTTATAAACTCATTGCAAGAGAAAGGATGTTTTATCAATATTTGAACTCTTCTATACATTATTAGTTTAGAACTTTGTAGTGGTAACATTACATTTTAGCCTTTTTAGATTGTCTTGCATTTACATTCTATATTTGCTTAGCACACTTAACATTCCTTTAAGTCTGTAGGATTAGGTAATATACTAAAACTTTTTATCATTTCCTCTATATGTTAACTACATTTTAAAGATGGTTTTATTAAATTCATCCTATAAGAGTTTTGCCTATCCTTGTGGGATTTATACTTACGACTCAATTAGAGCCCTATATTACTTGAAATGATACGCATACTTGCATAGTACCTCTAGTGTGTAAACGATTCTATCAACTTTATATAATATTTAATTTTGCACAATAGACACTTAATATAAATTTGGTCAAGCTTTTGGTCATATTTCAAAACTAATATAATTGTGTAATTGTGGGTTGGGTCAAGTATGAGGATCAATTGGCATCTCTTCTCAAGGGGAAACGGAAGCTGAAGGAGAAAGTATTCTTGATAATTACATGGGAGGAGCACGTTGAGGGTCTCTCCCCTTAGATTGAGGTCGACACTTCAATCGTCATTGAAAGGTTTGTGAAGCATAAACTGGTTAACCCTAAATGGCTGAATAAGGAAGAATTTGGCACACTCCTTTCATATCCTAAAGATGAGGAATAATACTAGCGAGCATAAACTCAATGCAAGAGAAAGGATGGTTTATGAATATTTGAACTCTTCTATACATTATTAGTTTAAAATTTAGTAGTGGTAACATTACATTTTAGCCTTTTTAGATTGTCTTGCATTTACATTCTATATTTGCTTAGCACACTTAACATTCCTTTAAGTCTGTAGGATTAGGTAATATACTAAAACTTTTTATCATTTCCTCTATACGTTAACTACATTTTAAAGATGGTTTTATTAAAGTCATCCTATAAGAGTTTTACTTATCCCTGTGGGATTTATACTTAGGACTATTAGAGCCCTATATTACTTGAAATGATACGTATACTTGCATAGTACCTCTAGTGTGTAAACCATTTTATCAACTTTATATAATATTTAATTTTGCACAATAGACACTGAATATAAATTGGGTCAAGCTTTTGGTAATATTTCAAAACTAATATAATTGTGTAATTACGGGTTGGGTCAAGTATGAGGATCAATTGGCAGCTCTTCTCAAGGGGAAAAGGAACCTGAAGGAGAAAGTATTCTTGATAATTACATGGGAGGAGCACGTTGAGGGTCTCTCCCCCTAGATTGAGGTCGACACTTCAATTGTCATTGAAAGGTTTGTGAAGCATAAACTGATTGACCCTAAATGGCTGAGTAAGGAAGAATTTGGCACACTCCTTTCATATCTTAAAGATGAGGAATAATACTAGCGAGCTTAAAATTTGGTTGCCCAAGGGAGCAGAGGAAGTTAGAGGGGAGGGTCCCAAAGATGAGAGAGTAATCTTTGAATGCCTAGCATCAAAATAAAAAAATAAGGAGATTTGTTTTTTGCTAGTGTTGTAAGAAAGAATACTTTGTAATCAAACTTTAAAGTAATACAAGGATATTTTTCTTTTCTAAGCTGGAGTTTTTATTTCTTGCATTGTATCATTCTTTAACTATCTTTAAGTCATGTTATCAACCATTTGTATGAATTGTTGGCGGTAAATATGCACCTTATTGAATTCAATTAGTTTGGAATGAAGGACGATTGCCATACACCCTTGTGAAGCTTGTCAGTGTCACGTGGCTAGTTATCCTCATGGCCAAGGGTGATCGTTTAACACCCCTTGCAGAGCTTGTGGCTTTCGAGTGTTGAAATTGTCCTAAGAGCTGCTAATAATCATTATAGACCCCTCACAGTGTTGGATGATTGATCGTCTTACACCCTTCACGGAGCTTGTTATTGTTAAATGTTAGATTATTATAAGGGCCGCGAATAATGTTTTCACACCCCTCACGGAGCTTGTCACTTCTGAGTATTGAAACGTCCTAAGAGCCACCTACAGACATTATACACCCCTTGAGAGCTTGTCTTTGTTGGGTGATTGATCATCTTACAACCTTCACGAAGCTTGAAACTGCCAGCTCTTAGATTATTATAAGGTTGTGAATGATTGTTTCACACCCCTTATGAAGCTTGTCGCTACCAGGTGCTAAAACATCCTAAAAGCAGCTGACAATCATTATTCATCTCTAGTGTAGCTTGTTGCTGTCAGATGTTGATTATTTATTGGGTTTGTTGTCTTTCTAGAACATTAGTTCCCTAACTTAGAAGGCTCGAAGTTTTTTTCTTCTTTTTGTTATTTGATCTATGACAACAATGTTGTTCAAAATCACAACACATTTTATTTATAATGTTAGGCACTTTGAAGATTATGATGGAAAGAGATAATGGAAAACAAATCTTCTTATTTATAAAGATCAAAATACAAAGCTATAAAATTTTTTTCGTAGGTTTAAGGAAAAAAATCTTGAAATCATTGCCACTCCAAGTTCGAGGTACCTCATTTTATGCGAAGGTTTTTAGTTTGTACACTCGAGGTTTAGCCTTCTGGTGGATGATGTAGGGACAGTTCCAGGTCAAATCTAGTTTTCCAACTGCTTGTCCTCTTACAATGAGGCCGGCTTTCTTTAATACCAAGTCTCCGGGAGCAAACATCTCTTTACAAAAAGTTTTTATGAAAGTATTTGGCTATCCTCAGTTCAACTTTTCCTTATCGAAGAGCCGCATTGGCTTGGTTTTCCTCTACTAGGTCTAAAGCAAGCATTATCCTTTCATTATTTGTTTCATGCGATTTCTCCAAGTTTTGTTCATCGAAGGTTAAGGCTGGGAGCACCCGCTGACTATATTTTTTTATTTTTGACCAGCAGTATGGCTTCCATTCCATCATAAAGCATGAACGAAGTTTAGCCAGTGGATGAAAATGGTGTGGTTCAGATTGCCCATAGTACTGAGGGGATCAAATCTGCCCACTTTACCTTTGCTCCTATTATTTTCCTCAACAGGTTTAGGATAACTTTGTTGGCGGCCTTGGCCTGTCCGTTGGTTTGGGGATGATGCACAAAAGAAGAACTTGAGGTTACTTTTCTTAGTTTTATAGAAATCTTAGTCTCATTTGTCAAGGAATTGAGTTCTGTTGTCCGTGATGATAACGAGTGGGTGTCTGTATCGACAAATCAAATCATTCTAGATAACATTTTAAACTATTTCTATTGTTATGTGGGCGATGAGCTTCGATTCTATCCATTTAGAGAAATAGTCGAAGACCACTAGTAGAAACTTGTGTTGTCCCTTTGATGGGAGAAAAGGTTTGAGGATGTTGAGCCCCCAGAGAGAAAGACCAGATACTAATTATCAAATAAATCTTTTGGGCTAGTTAATGTCATAGGAGAATATATTTTGAAATTGCAGGCACCTTCGAGAATACCCTTCTACATCTTTTAGCAAGTTTAGGCAAAAATATTCTTATGCTTAAATATAGTGGGCGAGCACTTTTCCTATTGAATGACATTCACACTCCCTAACATGAACTTCACTTTTCCTATTGAATGACATTCACACTCCTTCACATGAACTTCTCCGAAGATATCTTCAATCTCATTTTGGCTAATGCACTTGTTTCATGGCTTTGCTAGTGCACATCACTAATGCATAGGGGTGTAAACGAACCGAACACGAACGAACAAAGCTTGTGTTCGTGTTCGGTTCGTTTAAAATTTAGTTTGTTTGAAATAAGCTCGTGTTCGTTTCTTAACGAACGAGCCGAACAC